ACATATCACTGATATAAGATTCATAGTAAATTTGTTGTTTCAAGATCACTGCATATTATTTCTCATGATTCAGGATTGGTACCCCCCTCCCCCTTCCAGACAAACAGAAATATAGATGATACATCCCAAAAAATAAGTATGAAATTAACTCACCCACACAAAGGTTTCAAGATACTGTGTATAATTTCATTCACAACTATTTTAAACTACATACATACGGAAACCAACCTGTCACTCGACCAGTTAATTGTTTCAAAATATTCTGCTTTGATAACTACATGTTTAATACACATGAAGAATTTCGTTTCCATAGATGTCCCCTCTGATTTATCCTTCCATAAAAGTACAATAAAATCCCAAGTGATATTCTTTGGTCAATACATAAAAATTACTTATAATCAACAATGTTTATTTAGTTCTTTATAAAACGTTGCACACAAGCAGCTGCATTGGATACAAAATAGACAGTTTAAAGACAGTCTGAGACAGATCACTCGACTAGTTTTCTCTCTTAAATATTTTTATTTTTCTGTTATTTTTATTTAAGGTTAGAAGTTTTAAATGTTGTAATACATTCTCCTAGTGTTGATGAAGTGTCTACAGCCGCAGAGTGCTTATTTATCGCTTCCTTTCCTTAACACTATGTCAGCAAGATAGATATCCTGCAATGATTAGCTCTGTTTTCTGTGCGCAAACATTGCGCAATTGACCAAGTAAGACAGCAACTGGAATAATTATGGCAATGTGCGTCTTGCGCAACGCACATTTATTAATTTTTTAAAACAATGAGATAATTATTAACATAACAAATTATAAACCGAAGTTAATTATTAAAAGTTCGCACAGAAGAGGTGGGGTAATAAATACGCCCACCATTTAGAAATTAATTTAATAACTAAACTAACTTACAAATGTAATAATATTGCGTCAAGTAACAGGGAGGAGGGTGGGATATCAATTGACTTCAGCCAGAGAGTTGAACTTGCACGACCAGATTGAAGAATAGAATGAACTGATGCACATACTGCTGTAGATTATATCACCACTCCTATCCGCTTCCTGCGCATTACATTCATGTGACTACAAATTATCGGGGCTTAATACCCACGTGTCCCATTACAATAGCTCCCTATCTCTAAAACTAGATGCAGGAAGCAATAAAATCTTTATTGGTATACTAGCCTGCACGGCAGGCGGTATTTCTACGGGCAGCGAAAATTAGGGAAGCAAAGGAAATACCGTCTGCCGCAAAACTAGGGGTTTTTGAATTACCCGTCCGCTGGTGAACGGGAAAAACGGATTGGTTAGTATTTTTATGTAGTTGTCAATCAACGGCTAAATTTGGTTAAATGTTAATCATTAACCAAATGTTTTGACGTTTTGAAACTCTGCGTTTTGAAATTAGTTCACGTGAAGTCAGACCAGAAATGGAATAACATAATAAAAGAAGCAAATTAAAAGATACAAGCTGAAAAATAACACTCTAAATAGCTCGCTAAATAGTGTTATTGATAGAGATTCGAACAAGAATATTTAACAACGAAGATACGTCCAAAGGGGCCGAAGTTATGATCGGCGAAAGGTATGGGCTAGTCTATATTTTCGTTCAGACAATTACATGCGTATTAATTTGATAATATACTATCTCGCTTGACTTTCAAAGGCCATAAATCGCAATAATGTTGACATTTTACTATTAAAACTATCGATAGAAATTAGGAGATATTTCTTCACTGAATCGAACAGTGGGATTTCCATATAGGCCTATCAGTCATGTTCTGAACCAAAGATACTTGATATATATTAATATATACGAACCTCCAAAGTATAAACAAGGGGCCGGTTGATGCAGTAATTATCAAATAACAGTTAAACTCTTATATACCCATTGAATATGTATAGTTATAAACAAATAAAAACTATCGTTCTATAAGGTTCAATACTTTCAGTTTGGTTGTTGACTGATGATGAATCTATAGTATAGACTTGCATGCTTTGTATTTTGAGCTTATTAAACCACCGTTTTAAGGCAGCTAAACGGCTAAACGGGCTTGGTTTATATTAACACAAAATAAATTCCTTGATTCTCATCACTAGACACAGTCTACACTTTGAAATGTCGAAGACAGTGGGAGATTTATTTTTATATTTTATATTTATATAATTTATATATCAATAGTTCGTATCTCCACAAACAATGACAGAATGACTGAGTTTCTTTAAAATACAATGAAATTTCACTCAAAATTCTGTTTGTTTCAAATTGGAAGTTTAAAATGGCAATACAAACTCTATATAAAATATGAAAAAATTAACTGTCTTGAATTATTTTGTCGGGCGGTACATTTATATTGTATAACGAAAAATAAAACGTTTTCACGAGGATTTTAAAATTCAGTCGGGCGGTGATGAGAATCAAGGAATTTATTTTATGTTGGGCAGTTGGGACTTGGGAGCAGCTTGGGAGTGGCTAATTTTGAATATTTACTTAATTAATGGATCTATAAATAGCGTTGATGCTTCAGGGGCGGTAGTTCATTTACACCCAGTTTTGCGGCAGGCGGTATTTCCTACGTACCGCCTGCCATGCAGGCTATTGGTATGCCAATAATTCCTTTACGTTTTGATAAGCGATTTGAGCTCGAATTTGTGAGTACTTGTCTGAAACCTTCAAGGTTGAATCTAGCAAGGTTATTGGGATTTAATCGGATGTCCACTCCGATTACACGTTGGACTAAACATGGTCAAACAACTTTAGCAATCCCTGGTCATGATCCTCCGATCGAGATTACTATTTTTATGGACATTTCAATCAATCCTGGCCCAATTCTTCACAAAATTCCGGTTAGAACAACTGTAAACCGGCGGTTTCGAAATCAGCATAGGCGTAGCTTCGTCAACAACAGTATTCACATTAGATTGTGAAGTATGAATAATCTTATAAGAATTCCAACATATAAAAACACTCCTTTTCATACGACTGGTGAAATTGGGTCCTTGAAATTTTCCACACTTAATGCAAGGTCAATACGGAATAAGACTTTGATTATCAAAGACTTTGTTGTTGACTATGATGTTGATATTACGGCTATAACTGAAACTTGGCTTCGTGACAATGGTGATGATCTAATTATCCGTGAAGTATGTCCTACTGGTTATAAACTTGTGCATAAACTGAGAATCTCATGCACCGGTGGGGGTGTAGGTTTTCTATATAAAGAAAACATCGGCATTGAACATATTATGTATCATAGTGAATTTAGATCTTTTGAATGCCTTGATGTTACATTTGCAAGCTCGAATAATATCCGGACTCTTGTTATTTACCGTCCACCATGCTCTACTGTCAATGGTCTGTCTGTTAACCTGTTCTTGGATGAATTCTCAACTCTGCTTGAGGAGGAGGTTATCTCCACTTCTGAGTTTTTAATTCTCGGTGATTTTAATATCCACATTGATGACAAGAACGACATTCACACGAAAGAGTTTATGGACATAATTGAATCGTTTAACTGTAAACAACTGGTAACTCAGGCAACACATGTATACGGACCATATATTGGATCTGCTTATAGTAGGTGATGATCTTGAAGATGAATAAAATCTTATGAGTGACACAAGTGATTTGTCTTCTTTGGTCAAGAATTATGAAGACGTTTTAGGCTCTCTCTTGGACAAACATGCACCTATGAAGCGACGTAAAATTACAATTCGTCCAAGGGCACCATGGTATAATGCCAATATCACAGAAGCAAAAAGGCTTCGTCGCCAACTTGAAAGGAAATGGCGCTCGTCTAAATCATTGAGCGATAGAGCAGCTTTTGTAAACCAGTGTAAAGTTGTTAATAACTTGATCTACGAATCCAAGCAATTATACTACAACGACTTGATTGAAGAAAATTCTTCCAATTCTAAATTACTATTTAAAATAGTAAATAAGCTGCTTGACTGATCGACAATATCCGAAAAAACATGATGACAAAAGCCTAGCCAATTCATTTGCTGATTACTTCACCACTAAAATTGAAAAAATTCATGATGAAATCGTGTTAGCAAAGAATCTTGTTGTTGCACCCATTATTATAGAGAAAAGTCCTACGTCGGTATTTGATACTTTCAGACAAGTGACAGATAGTGATGTGTGGAAGCTACTTAGTAATTCTAAGATTGAAGTCCTGTCTAATTGACCTGGCTCCTACTTTGGTATTGAAAGAATGCAATGAATCGTTACTTCCTATTTACACTAGGATAATTAACCTCTCTTTGCAAAGTGCAGTAATGCCAGAACCCTTAAAGATCGCAATGTTAGATCCATTATTAAAGAAGGTCAATGCTGACTCAAACCTTAGACCAGTTTCGAATCTTAAATTCTTGTCAAAGCTCGTCGAGAGGGCTGTGTTTGTTCAACTCAATGAATATCTTGTCGAAAATGAATTACACGAAGTCTTTCAGTCAGCCTACAAGTCATTTCATAGCACTGAGACATCTCTATTAAGGGTGCAAAATGATATTTTGCAGTCTTTGGACAAAAAGCAATCGGTCATCCTCGTTCTTCTTGATTTGTCTGCCGCATTCGACACCATTGGGCACAAGATTTTATTATCTAGATTGGCTGAACGATTGGGAATCAGTGGAAATGTTCTTGCATGGTTTAAATCGTACTTGTCATCTCGTAGTCAGTTTGTCAATATCAATGGCACTTCTTTATACTGCCCCTGTGGCTGATATCATTAGGAGGTATGATCTTGATTATATATATGCTGATGATACTCAGCTATATGTGTCCTTTGAGGCGGATAGTGACGTCGACTTGGTGAAGGCTTATATTGAAAACTGTATAGCTGAAATATGCGGTGGATGCTCTTTAATGGATTAAAGATCAATGATGATAAAACAATATCAGTTCTTATGCACTCAAAGTTTTGGCCTTGTCCTTTGCTCCGCGATTCAATCAAAGTTGGAAAGGACTTGATTCCTTTTTCAGGTTCGGCTACCAATCTTGGTGTGATTATGGATGAGACACTCTCCTATGATGATCATGTTAAGATAGTTTGCAAGTCCTCGTTCTTTCATTTGAGGAATATTTCTAGAATTCGCAAATATTTGACAAAAAAATCAGTGGAGGTCATAATCCATGCCTTGATAACAACGAAGTTGAACTACTGTAATTCACTCATGTACGGCTTGCCTAAACATCTTCTTTCGAAGCTGCAATCAGTCCAAAATTCGGCTGCTCGGATTGTTACCTTGTCTCTGAAATATGATCATATCACACCACTCTTAATCAAGGGTGGGTAGTAGCGAAGTAGTTGTAGTTCGCTACTGTAGCGAACTACAATTTTCAAGTAGCCAGTAGTTTTTGACTACTTTTTTAAAACAGTAGCTGTAGTTATAGCGAACTACATTTTGCCTAAAAGTAGCCAAGTAGTTGGCTAATTTTCAAACGGCGAATCGCTATTCGCTAATTTTTAAAATTGTTAGCAACTTGATAGAATAGCATGATATTGAGACACGGTCTGCTTAAAATCAATACTCAATGGTCATTTTGCACTCCTGAACACTGTAGTGCTTCCAAAAATGTTGCTTTGTGTTTGCTGTTGTCTGTTGCTACTCGTAAGTCGATTTGTTATAGGTTACGTTACAGCCTGAGTTAATATATAGTACATGCTCCAAATACAGTAAAACTAAAAAATATAGATTAGCGAAATAGCGAAATAGTTCGCTACATTTTTTAAGCAGTAGCTGTAGTCAGCAGCGAACTACCTTTGTTCAAAAGTAGCAGTAGTTGTAGCTGACTACATATTTTTGAAGTAGCTGTAGTTATAGCGAACTACAAAAATTTTGTAGTCAACCCACCCTTGCTCTTAATTCAACTACATTGGCTTCCTGTTCACTACCGAATAGTTTTTAAAATTCTTCTATTGGTTTATAAGTCAATGAACGGAGCCTGTCCACTCTACTTGTCTAGTTAGCAACATCGAACATCTACCCGATCCCTCCGCTCAGTTGCAAATGAGCTTTTACTGGTGCCTTCTTCCAAAAGTAAAACTTATGGTGACAGATCCTTCGCTGTATGTGCTCCAATACTATGGAACAAGCTTCCACACAGTTTGCGAAAGGCATTCTTTATATTGACTTTTAAAAAGGATCTCAAAACTTATCTTTTTAAACTTTTTATTAATAATAGTTCCCTGTATCTTTCTTTTGATTGATATAGATGGGTCTGTAAGTTTATTTAAGTATACAGCATGTACATAAATGTAAATAATTGTATTGACTTCTTCTTATTTTAAAGCGCCTTGAACTTTTGGATATGTGCGCTATAGAAATCGAGGATGATAATATTATTAAATTCAAGGACTAAACACTGAAGAAAAGGGGTTTGAAATAAGTAAAATGTGACGTTCAATTGTTCAAAACACAACTTTAATGAGTTCCAAACAGCTTTGTCAGACATCTCAGGTGAGTTAATGACTGGGTCAAAAAGTTATTAGTTTCCAGTGCCTTTTGGGAAAGTAGCGAATTTAGGCGTACAATTTCCGTCTTTTTTTCCGAACATGGTGTCGATGAGAGTGGTGTTTATTTTATACATGATAGATCGAAGATTTTGGCAAGAAACTGTTTCTGTATTAATACCGATCGTGGTTATAGTTTGTCTAAAGGTTTGTACTCTATTTATTGGTACTGTTTTCCTAGTGTAGCCTTTAAGGCTTTGTAGTTGAGCTTTGTTTTATATTATATTTTATAGGCATTATATAAAATTCTATAATACTGTCATTGAAAGCCAGTATTAGGAAGGATTCTAGCTTGTGTTTATACTAATTCTAACAATGGCCATATATCTTACCTTCTGAGAGTTGCACTTTAATGTGAGCAAACCAGATGTCCTGATATATTCCATATAAACATACAAATTTAATAGTGGCAGCAAGCTAGGTTCTAAAATCCATTGCAATACATTCTACAATTTTTTACCAAGAACCAAACACAAGACTGTGGAGACAAGAACGCTTGTTATGGCCTTGTCTCCACTTGTTTTAATACATTTAATTGAAGAATCAATTTCATATGATACAAATATTTACATCTTATGGTGTATTCACTCATTGTGGTGCTCTTTATTTAAAATATGTAGGACTTCAAGGTCCTAAGAATGGCGAGAGCCTACTTACATTTCAGTACTATTCAAACCTATTTCATGTTCCATAAGATCTTGATAGCTATTCAATATATACTGTGTATATCCATATTTAACCCATTGAGCCGCAATGTGCTCCAGTGCGCCCTATTTATGTTTTTTTAACTTGTCTAACGTCAGATGATTTTACTTGTCATTGGGGAAGCTCTGCAGCTTAATGGTTAACCAAAAATTCTGACAATGTATACTACTGTACTTCAGTTCTACTTCTTCTCCATTGAGCCGCAATGCGCCCCTCTGTGCCCTACTTATTTTTTTACTGTTTTAAGCTCTGCAGCTTAATGGGTTAAAGTAGCTTTGCCATCTAGCTGGGCCATTCATGATATTAATTTTTTCCCAGTGCAGTCAACTTATGATAACTTTATATACTGTATTATTATTGATTTGATAATGTTAATAGTGTTGTATTCAATTTTAATGCTATGTGATTATACTGCATTTTAATAATAGTAAATTTATTAATAATTTATTTATATAACTCTATATTAGTTAAAACACAGTTAAGATCGAACTGGCTGCCAAAAGACACAATATCTTGACAACCTGCTGCCGAAAGACGATTCATCTTGACAGCACAAGAGTTTTCACTATGGCTGTGTTTCACATAGTTTATACAAGCTATTAGATTTTATTAAGTTATTTATATTTATATTATTTAAACAAGGTATTATTAATTCCTTGTATGTTAGCTATATATTTAGAAAATACCGGACCAATAAAAACACAGTCAAGATCCAACTGGTTGCCGAAAGACACAATATCTTGACAACCTGCTGCCGAAAGACGTGGACTGTGTTTCACATCATTTATAGGACTGTGTTTCACATAATTTATGTTTATATATATATATATATGTTTGTTTATATATAACTGTGTTTCACTAGAACTGTGTTTCACATAATTTATACAAGTTATTAGATTTTATTAAGTTGTTCACATTATTTAAATAAGTTACTCATTAATTCCTTGCCACAACCTGTTGCCAAGTTATGCCATTAATGCCCCACACTTTCCCTTTGAACACTAAAATCATCTAGCATTAGACAGAGTAAAATAACAAAGTAGAGCACATTGAAACCTAATGAGTTAAATATTATCCTGGTTATCAATCTTGTTTACTTTATCCAACTTAACTTTTGATTTATACTTCATTTTGTAGAGCCTTTTTAATGCATCTCAGCTATGGATATTCTCTGCATTCAACATGGTCAATATTTTCAAAAGAGTGGGCTTTTTTGTGGGGTTAATATCAGTAGCTGCATTTGCTAACTGTAATAGGATTGTGCTGCCCAATTACCTTACGGAATCTCCCGAGTGAATATACATATCACTGGCAGTTGTAACACGAGATCCCTTCAAGACTTCTGGTGCAATGTGTTTGTACACTTCCCTGTATTCCATCACCATTGGTCAAGAGATTTCACAAACTTTCCCGAAGTCAATTAGGTATCCCTTATTTTGTGCGACCAACACATTATTGGACTTCAAGCCACAGTGGAGATATCCTCTTTGGTGCATGTGGTCAAGTGCATCAGTGATGTCATAACATATGCAGAGCCATGTTGTGGTTGGCATTTCTGAAGCTTGATGTTGGTACAGTGGGTCAAATAGCAACTTGAACACTGTTATAGATGACTGTTCTCCCCAATAAATTGCATTATCAGGGAGATTGGCTTTTTGTCTAGCTGCACCCCAAGTAACAATGGGATACATATGTGTGACAATTTTGGCAAAAATATTGCTTCTTTATATAGCATATCAGCAGTGCTGTCAGTCAACTGCTTTTTAACAACTGTTATTCCTAATCTAATGAATTTTTTATGGAAGCAATTGCCAAAAACTCCATTCCCTATTGATTCATTGCTAATTTCCTCCAATTCTTCATGTTGAATAGTTGTAATACCCACTGTACAAGTACTTCAGCTGGACATGTTCAACTGAGTTACCTTTAATTTGAAATTTAATAACTATTTATTAGTGATTTGTATGGCCATACCAGGTTTTGTAATCAAGGCGTTTTGAATTGGTTGGGTTGATGGATTTTTTTATAGCTTTATATTTTAGTTCCTTAATTCTTATCATAGCTAATAGTGTGTGACCAACAAACCCTTTGATATAGTTTACAGTACGTCATGATTCTCTTCTTGGCAGGAAGCCTCATTCTCAAAAATCGTAAGCAAACTAGTGGAATTGCCTTTCATCTTGAATCGTAAGAATGATGCTTCCAGGCAAAGGTAATGAATATATATATATATAGATAGATAGATAGATAGATAGATAGATATATATATATATATATTAGTTTTTCGTTTTACCTCAAAGAACCACAACAGTCTGTTTCATCCGTATAGGAATAATACGGATGAAACAGACTGTTGTGGTTCTTTGAGGTAAAACGAAAAACTATATTACGCTCTATCTATATGGTATTGAGCACTGTTTGTGTTTCGTAAA